TTAGTAGCCTATTTCTGGAACCGGGCCTGGATAAAACTAGCTGTGTTTGAGCAGTTTTCATGATCAGTATAGCTCATATTTAGGCGATCACACGTAATGTTATGTGGCAGTATGCTTCAAAGTCTGAAAAATTTGCAGGATTTGTTCATTTCCTTCGGGAAAATCTCTATAGGCTACAGTAATGCACACGGGCTTCATCGAATACTCCATGCATATGTTTATTTAATCTTATGTGTGGATTAGGCTATTTGGTTTCATTTAGTGTGAATCTCCATTTTCAACGGCTCTGATAAGGCTAACGTGATATGCGGCCGGCCAATGTTATACCAAGCAGTAGGCTAGTCTATAAATTTGGATGTTCTCACATTTAGATCTAAGATTTAGGCTAAAATATAACGTTAGATATTTAAAATATCTTTTAAATATATGGCCTATTTATAGGCTAACATTCATATTTATTTGTATATTTAACATAAGATTTAACATATGTATTAACAGAATTTCGATTTAGATCAACATTTAGATTTACGTTAAAAAAAAAAAGTCACTTATGGACCCATCAGAAATTTTTACTATTCTGCTCTGCTGCTGTTCTGAGTTTAGATACAAAGCGATTTTTGAAACAAAATAGCAACTCCAGGAAATGATGCACAGAAGTTTGGAAGAAAACGTGCCTTTGAATATTAATTTTATTGTGTTCTGTTTTCCTTTTCCTGGCAGTTGGAAATATTTGGCTCCGTTTGTTATTGTTGTGCTTCAAAACCTAGTGAGCTGCCTTGTAGGTCTGTAACAATACACACATTTCTAGATATGATACACAAGTTTCAGGATATGATTCAATAGAAAAGGGTGCCAAAAGTGTCCAATTAAACTTTACTGAAACACTTGAGACAAACTAAATGTATCTTAAAGGGATAGTTCAACCAAAAATGAAAATTACCCCATGATTTACTCACCCTCAAGCCATCCTAGGTGTATAAGGCTTTCTTCTTTCAGACGAACACAGAGTAAATCATGGGGTAATTTTCATTTTTGGGTGAACTATCCCTTTAATGTCTAAATTACTTGCTGTCTACATGGACAATTTGCTTCTATGCTTCTCAAAATGTAACATTTTGTTTTTATTCATAGTATTTACTGTCATGTCCAGCACACAAGTGCATATTAAGTGAATCATTTCAGCAAGATCACAGCACTGTTCTTGAACACTGTACACTGCATTTTAAAGGGGTCATATGATGCAATTTCAATTTTTCCTTTCTCTTTGGAGTGTTAGAATCTAGAAGACAACTGATCACTCAATTCTTCACTTTTAGAAGAATCCAGAAGCAATTACAAAAACATACATATACAGAGAGAGAGAACCAGCGTCTGGGATGATGGCTAATTTAGTCTCAACTAGTCCCATTTTAGCAGAGCTGGCTGTAAAATAGGTCAAAATGTGGAGAATCAGTTAGACTATTTGTTTTCAAATAGATAAATCTCTTAGTCTGGTGAACTCTCTCAAAACACCCTGAAAAATATGAATTCCTTCAGAAATTACATTTTTAATTAAGCAAATAGCGATAAAAAATCTGGTTCATTACGCATACAATATCTAATAACTAAGAAAAATACTAACTGTGTTCTAATTAAAAGACATTTTATTTTACTGATAATTAATGCTTTAGTGATAATTAGTTACTTACTTGTAACACTGAACAACAACAGAGCACACTGATAAACAAGTAGTTTAATTTGCTCTAGATAAAAAAAAAAGCATCTTCCATGTGCATAAATGTAAAAATTTAATTTCACAAACAAATAAGAATTATGTTTTTAATTAAATTAAATATGAACTCTTATGTTTAGTTCTGAAGCCATTAACAGCATAATTTCAGGGGCATCAGAAAAGAACACCAAATAATATTCCACATTCATTTTTATATAAAACAAACAAAAAAACTGCTTAAAGTTATTCTTAAGGCATTCTAAATTTTTTTTATTTTTTTACAGCATCACAACTTTGAGTCACTGTGCAATTATACTAAACATAAGACCTAAAATATTCACATTTGAAAAAAAAAATGAAAAAAAAAAAAAAAAAGGTGCCACGTGTGAAAACATATGGTGTGGAAATGCATTCGAAGAAGTGCAGGAGACCTGTTATAGCATCATGCACAGATTTCCTAAATCTAAATCTGGGTGTGAGAGGAGAACGCATGGAAGAAGCCATCTGCTAACTGACAGCATAACGAAGAAATGTTAATTCATTTAATAGATGCTCAAATACAAAAGAAACTCTACTGAGTGAACCAAGATTAATTTATAAAACCATTAAATCACTTTGGGTTGTTGATCCCACTCTAGACCTGATATCCAGTGTAGATTAGCCCAGGACTAAGCTTGAGGATCTCTAATATGGATTTACACCGGAAGCGTGTGGCTTTAATTATAATCATTCATATTGAACTGTGTGAATCAGCTACAGAGTGTTCATATAAAGTCATGAGATGAACCATATGGTCTACCTGCCACTCTGATGTCACAGGCAAGAGCCATTTCAAGACCTCCTCCAAGAGCCGCCCCATCAATGGCTGCAATCGTTGGCATGGGAAGAGCACCTAAAAACATTTCCTCAAAATGCCTAAGACTGGATTAACCATTAAATTAATATACCCACACTTTTCTAATTTGTAGTCAGCTGTTTGTTTGTTTTTTAATAGCTGAGCTGATCTCTAGAGAGCAGGGTTACCATTGGCTAAAATAATGGAGATATAAGAAGAAGCTAAAATACATTACCGGTTTATTAATTTTCATCTCTGCTACTGGTATTTACATTTTACAATTACACAATGGCGTTGAGCAAAATGTGACTGTGTATGAAATTCTCTCATGGTGTTAACTTATAAAAATCAGCTATTTGGTTAAAAAATAAATTTGTGGAATACCTATTAAGATTTCTCTACCAGCACATTTTCAAGTTTTATATAAATGTTTTCAGTGGTTTAACTTACCAAGTTCTGTAATTAGTGTTCTTGCTTTAGTAACAAATGGTCCTACTTCACTCTGCTGCATCTGTGCTCTTTCTTTTAAGTCTGCGCCTGTTCAGACAAACATGTGTTGATGCAAAGTTGTGTTCTTGTGAAAGACATTGTAAATCAGCACATTTTTAGTGCAAAAATCCGTACGCTGAAAATAATGAAACTATATCCACATAGGCATTGGTTGGCCTTGTCAGATTTCAAGGCAAGTTTACTTGAATTCTGAACTGACTACAGTGCATTAAGGAGTAGTTTGTATGGTTCTCATTTATTAACAAAGCATGTCACAAACAACAACTGATCAGTGTTAATGAGATGATCTGGTCACTCACTGAAAAAATGGACAAAAATCTCAATTTATTTACTAATACCCCAGTTACTTTTTAAATAAATAAACATGGTCTAAAGCTGCCGTCACGTTTCATCAGATGGCAAAATAACTTTTACATTTGATTCTACATGTGTGTTCAAATGTCTTTTTGCTATGCCAACTGGAGTCGATGTTCACCAAACTTTTGTGCGCTGCAGATGAAACTTCACATCATGTACTAGTATTTTTGCTGTCCAACATTCAGTTCAGTGTCACTACATCTTAAATCATGTATGATTCACAATTCACTATATTCTGAAGGCCATGTTAGTTTTCAGTCTTTCGGCAAAAAAGTAACAACTTTATCCACCAGTGAGTGTACCCATTTTCTCTTGACTTAACCAAAACTGTGTGCAACCAATAATATCAAACCAGCAATATAGGTGGACATTAGTGTAACCCACACAATCCAATCAAATCCTGTAAAGTTGTATACAACTTGCTTCAAACACCGCAGTGGCTAAATACCTGCGCAGAATATTCCAGGCACCATACTGCATAAAATTACAGTGCGCACTTTGTTGTCCTTCTTCAATGACTCTACAGCTTCTGACATCTAGCAAAAACAAAACAAATCATAAAAAGAGGGATATTATGTAGGTCCTAGTAGGGCTGCACGATAAATCGAAATGGAATCGAGATCGCGATTCCACAGAAGCTGTGATTGTCATGCGTATCTTTCAGTGAAGCACGGTTCTGTGATCAGCAGTAAATCACCATCCGAAGGCCAGAGGGCACTCTCGCGCTGAAACTCCAAATACGCCTCGCAGAAGTAATCCAGGAAATTATCATCCAGGAATTCGCTGCAGCTGAATAAACAATTAATCGTGCAGCCCTAGGTCCTAGTTCTCATTTGTTATCCAATCAAATTCTAACATTTGTGCCTCAGAGATGATGGAAGGAGACCCAGGGCCAGAATTCAGGTCCACTGCTGTAAGGAATATACTATTTATACACCATAGTACACGCTAAAAAGAAAATACCTGTTACCACAACTTAAACAAATGAATGGTTTCAAGTCTAAAATTAATTTACTGATTTAATTAAACTTTTAGCTACAAACATTATGTTGTCAAAAGAACTCATTACATCATTACACTGTGCATAATTTAAACTGAAACCTCTGCATTAATTGATATATATATATATATATATATATATAAAATGATAAGATGTACTACTTAAATATGTAATTGGACAGTGGATGTCACAGCATGCTTTGCATAGGACTGGAGAATAAATGTTGAAATGTGTTTGGCAAAGGGAAAGACCTGTTAAGTGTTTAATGCTTGACATTTAAAAGCATTTCTGTTATGCTGAAGTTTTTGTGGTTACCATTGTGCTGGCGAGCAGTGTTTCTGGTTTAGGTTGTGGGTGGCTACATGAAAGTAGTTACATTTAACACGTGCTATGCTATCTGAACGGAAACAGATTGGTTAATAAATTAATTAAAAAATGTGTTTATGCTACAAATGTAGCTCCTTCGGAAGTTGTTTCATGGTTGAACTATTTCATTAGTAGTCATAACTCAAAAATATTGATGCAAACTTACATTTTTTTGCGTCAAAACATTTGTTTTTAGAGCATACAGCCAATTCTTAAGTACATCTAAAAATACCATGGTACTCTTGTTAATTAAAAAAGATGTCACAATACTTAAAAAAAAAAAGTATAAGGTAGTCATGTAGTAGGCAATAGTGTTTAACTATTACATATTGACAAGTAACATTGTAAAAAATACTCACCATCGTAACAAGATTTTTGCTGATGGCATTTTTAGATTGAGGGCGATTAATCCCCAAAACAACAATCCCTAAACACACAAGAACAGTTACACTACAATAAATAGTTTACAAATTGCAAGAAAAAAAATCAGTTACATGAAAACTATAACAGACTGTGGAAGTGACAAGAAACTCTCTCTATAAAAAAATGTATTATATTGCATTGCACTAATGTAGAATGCCTGAGCCTCAACCTAAGCATTTCAATGTGCAAATTGTCACTGACATTGTACACATAATAAATAAACTTGAAAAGTTAGGGAACATTTAATAATAAGCATGTTATGTCAGGGTCTGGTTAATGAGCAGATTTGGAATCCTAAACTCAGGTATTTATGAAAGGCAAATGACTGACACTTTTTTTGGATGACAGGGCACTGAAACTGTTCAATAATGGGGCGTTATGAGAAAAGCATATGCAACACGTGCAAGAGTCCGATGCACAAACTCTGTGATCAATCGCTGTGTCTGCTTCTACCCGAGTCATCACCGTCCAGGTATCTAACATAAGATCATCTCCAGACTTAACGTCGGAGCTGGACAGTCGCACACCTACGCTGCACGCCTGACGCGCACAATGCGCTCTCTTGGGTGGAAACGCACGCAGAACATTGTCCGATCTGCGCACGCCGCTAGTAACGCTCGCTTGAAAGGCTGAATCAGCAGCACTCTGCATCTCACTAAAGCCGCCATGCTTCAGCTTTCCTCGACTTTCAACTCTGAACTGCACGTGACGCGTTCTTCAGGTCACGTGACAGCGCTGTTTCCCGCGGCGGGAAGAGAAGAACTTCAGCATACAGATCCTTAGGTAAAATATATGGCCTATACACAATTTAATATGCTACATTTATAAAGACCTGTGCGCCATTTGTCGTTGACATTTAGCTTTATTTATTTAGCGGGCGCTTTTATCCAAAGCGACTTACAAATGAGGAACATCTAGCATTTTGGCTCATGATTCCTCACACGAGCCAACAACATTTAGTACACAATGTTAAGAATAAAGTATGCAAAGTTTAAAGGTTTCCTCATTATGAAGAAAAAAAAGAGCAAACCTTTATAAGATTAACGAGGTTACACTGCCCAGAGAATGTTATAGGTTCACCTTCAGCATGGAAAATCATGGTTTGCATCAATACTAGTGTATTTTATCACCTGTTTATAGACATTTGGAATCCTGTTCTTCTAACAGCTTAACAGTTCTCTACATAAACAGAGTTTAGGCTGATTATCTAAAGGACAATGATTTTCCATGTTTTAATAGCAAAATGACATCATACACCGAAAACATTTGTGACCCTCGACCACAAAACCAGTCTTAAAAGGGTTAGTTCACCCAAAAATGAAAATTAGGCTGCGTTTTACTCACCCCCGAGGCATCCTAGATGTATATGACTTTCTTCTTTCAGACGAATCCAGTCAGAGTTATATTAAAAATTGTCTTTGATCTTTCAAGCTCTATCATTGCAGTCAGCGGGTGTTGCAGTGCTTCAGTCCAAAATAAGTTAAATAAAAAGCAGCCATCCATTAAAAAAAAGTGTCTCACATGGCTCCGGGGTGTGAACAAAGGCCCCATGTAGCGAATCAATGCGTTTTTGTAAGAAAAATAACCATATTCAAAACGTAATAATCACTTTAATCTAGCTTGCGCTCACTGTTGTAAACGGAAGCAGCTCCGGGCGGATGACGTATGAGGTCAGCGTGTACAACTGCTGGCGCAAGCGAGATTAAAGTGATTATTACGTTGTGAATATGGATATTTTTCTTAAAAAAATGCATCGATTCGCTACAGGAGGCCTTTGTTCACCCCCCGGAGCCGTGTGAGACACTTTTTTTTTTATGGATGGGCGCTAGGGTTGGGAGATGTTTACCAAATTGGCATCGGACGATGTCTGCACTCTGCAGTGAAACATCATGATGGACGATGACATCGGGGGGCGGGCGGGGTTAGGGGTGTGCCCGAAGCGTGAAACAAATAACACATTCTATGGAGCCACTAAAAGGTTAACCTCTTGCTAGCGGTAGCCTGTTGCATTACAGTACATGAAAGTTCACTTACCACATACACAGAGTAAGGAGAAATGTCTGATAGGACGATGGCAAATGATTTGCAGATCCTGAGCACCAATGACAAACATCTAATCTTGTCAAATGTGTGGTAAGTACTGCCACTCCATAGTATAGAGTCCTTGTGATCGCGAATCTCGAAAGTGAAAGTGAAATAATATATAGAAATATATATATTTTTTATCCTCCCATCTCGTATTTATTCCCTTTAGGGTTTCCGTAGAACACTTCATTTCCTTTCCGAACATGGAACTGGGATGCGGCGGATTGGCCTAATTTTCATTTTTGGGTGAACTAACCCCTTAAGTGTCAATTTTTGGAAAATGGAAAGTCAAAGCTTTCCATTGATGTATGGTTTATTAGGATCGGACAATATTTGGCCGAGATACAACTATTTGAAAATCTGGAATCTGAGGGTGCAAAAAAATTTAAAATATTGAGAAAATCGCCTTTAAAGTTGTCCAAATGAAGTCCTTAGCAATGCATATTACTAATCAGAACTGAAGTTTTTATATATTTATGGTAGGAAATTTACAAAATATCTTCATGGAACATGATCTTTACTTAATAGTCTAATGATTTTTGACATAAAAGAAAAATCGATAATTTTGACCTGTACAATGTATTTTTGGCTATTGCTACAAACATACTCGTGCAACTTAAGACTGGTTTTGTGCTCCAGGGTCACATTTATGAAGCCTGTATTTATAATGCATTATAAAGATATTCTTAACGCATTATAGTATATGCATAATGTATAATAGTTAAACTGTATTATAAGGCTCATAACCTGCTTAAGATCTGCATATTGTTTTACTAAATCTTAACCGTAGTTGGGGTGGTTGTTGATATTTTAGTGTTTCCAGTGAGGCTGACGTTAATTCTGCTGTGAACTAGTTTAACTCATGGTAGCCCTTTTACATCTTCAAACAATGCAATATAGCTGTGTTGATATTACAATAAATACAGCAAATGTATTTATATTACAAATGTGCAATGTAACCCATTAATGATATAGCCTGTTTAAAAGACGACTTAATTTTACTTGTTACTTTACTTAAGGCAGACAAAGACCACTTTATAAATAGTATGACCACATTATAAAGCCTTTTGGATTTTTACAAGAAGCCTTTGTATTTGTAACTTTACAGTAAATGACCACTCATAAAATGTAATAAGATATTGTGTAGATCTTAAACCATCAAGACATAAGCCTTATAATATATTATAACTATGAGAACTAGAATCCTTTATGGCTTAAGTGTATACAATGTGTTCATTGTGTGTTGTAAATCACACTTTTAAAAGTTATAACCACAAGTATTATAATGTATTATAACGATTAAGGTTCTTATGAGGTATTATACGATCTTATTCAGTAAATGTTTTTGCTCACTTACATAAACACTGCATTATTGAGCACTCAGAATTATAGAGAGTATATCTGTAATATCTGTTACATTCTATATCTACAAAGTGTGCAAAGTGTGACACCTTTAGGGATTTACTCAGAGAATGTACTAAATATTCAAGAGCAAATGTTCTTAAACGTTTGAACAAAGCTGATATACTGTACTTTGCTAAATGAGAAAGGGGAAAAAGAAGTGTTTCAGTGCTTGCATTTATTGTAAACAAAAGAGAACATACAATGTACAATACATTTTGAGAAGTTAACATTAACAGTAGCCCAATTTTTTGGGTTACAAATGGAGTCATCAAGAAGACACGCCAAACTACAACAGTAAGTGCACAAAACACCATTCTTCTCAATGAAGTGCAGCTCTTTGACACCATAACAACCGCACAGTGCAGTAGCGAACACAGTGGAAAACAGGTGTTGTGCAAATAGAGGGAATTCAGTTTCAGAAACATCCTTTTCATAATGAGTCAATTTCAGTAGTGCTTTTCGTGGACTCAATAACAGACCCCTGCTGCTTTGTAATCAGTCTTTTCAAGGAGGCCACTTCTGCCGACAGATCAGCAATGCCCTGTTTCAAGTACAAGTTCTCAGATTCGGAGCTTGCATACGAGTCGTTTTTTAGGTCGGCGATGAGTTTGTTAGGCATAGCTCTCGGTGAGTCTGGACAGTGCTCCTCCTTGTGATCTTTGTGCCATTCCTTCGGCTGCTGACTCCAGTCCTGAACATCGGTCATCTGGAGGGACATCGGGCTAAGAGATGACTGAATGTACTCGGGTGTAACGTACTGACTCATTTGGTAGCATCGACTCGCAGACATGTCAATGGGAAAGGAGGACTTGCCAGATGATTCATAGTCGGGATCAGTAGCCTCCACTTTGATCTGGATGGCCCGGGATTTGATCCTCAACTTGTGGGGCAAAGCTGAGGCACTGGCATCTGGCACTTTGAGGGTCGACACAATTACACTCTGTGAATCGGCCCTGGGTGGAACCGGACCCTTCGGGACCTGCTGTTCATCCTCTCCATCTGAGGACTTGCTTACGGCCCCGTCATCACCATCAGATGTTCGTGGCGAATTGCTGGACGATCTGGTGATTTGCAAGAACGGCGATGGCTGGGAGTAGCTCCCAGGGAAAGGGCTACTTAGGTAGTTTCTGTATAGTTCATATGGACTAACCCTGTCTTTGGCGTATCTGCCGGTTTCCAGGGGCTCTTGTTTGATGCTGTCAGGGGTTCGGGATATATTTATAAGTGGGCTCCCCTGGGCCACCATACTTGAGTCGGATCCATCGGACAAGGTGCTGTGAGGTGAGTGCTTGATGACCGATATGTGGCTGCTGGTTAAACGTGCTGGCTCGAGCTCACTTGGGTAGGAACCCTTGGTGGCACTGGGTGTGATAAAGTCCTGGTAGAGTGCAGCAGTAGAACTGGAAATTTTCTGCACCTCCTGAGCATAGACTGCTGAGCTCACTAAGCCAAACCTGAGTTTAAGCGACAGAAGCTCGGTTTTCAGTGATGCGTTCTCTTCCCCGAGGGCCATGAGCTTGTTCTCCAGAACCATATCGTTGAGTCGGCGCTTTTCTCGTGAACGTTTGGCTGCTTCGTTGTTCTTGCGCCTTCTTTCCCAATATAGGCCGTCTTTCTTTTCGTCTGATATGAACTCGCGTTTTCTGCGACAGTTGGTGGACGTGGTCTTAAAGGACATGGTGGACAGCTCGTGGTTAATCATGTCCTTGTCTGTCACTGGCAAAGCCACCGCCAGCACCAAGGCATCCTCTCCACCATAGGGCCCAGTGCATGAGGGCTCATCCTTAATGGCTTGCATATTACACAATGTGGTCATCAAGACTGCATAAGCTCATTAGTTGACTCTGGTCTTAAGTAAACATCTCATTGTAGACCAAGTGCTATAGAAGTTATGTGTGTCCTCTTTGTGAAGTCTGTTTCAGAGAATTTTAAGGGATCTGGTGAGATAAAAACAGAGACAGATTAGACACCCCAATCAAAAAAGTGTGCCTATATTTTGATACTCTTTTTAAAAAAAAAATACTGTTATGGACATAAATAGAGAGCTGCTTTATCGCTCACAAACGATTGAAGACATTTGCGAGTTTTGCTTCCTACATTGGATTGTATGCAGTGCTGTGTAGTAACTGATTACATGCAATCTGGATTACGTAATCAGTTTCCAACAATTAAGTACTTG